GCGGGAGCTTGGAGAATCCATTTCGATTAGCCGTCGTCCATTGTGCCGAAGCCTCTGTGTGATTTGTTTGATTTCGATTCTTTCGTCAATGTCATTAGCAGCAGGGGCGTTTTGCATGAGCGAATGGACTTCGTGAGGTCGGCTGACTGCGCCCTCTAGATCATATAGCAAGGAGACGTCACTTCGCTGAAATCATACGCGTAACGCTATTGTTGTGAGAGGGAACATGCGTGAGAGATCTGGCCGTCAGCGTAAAGACTGACCCGAAGAAGCAGATCAGGAGTCAGAGCCTAGAGCACGCCGAGTACGGGCTTGGCACTCTGATGTAGTATAAAAGATGCCTATCCTATCCATGTTCACGATTGACAAAGAAAACCCCGGGTGTTGCTTCGTCCGTCAACAAGATGGTAAGGAAGACGGAGCCGTGGTCGAACATTCCGATGCAGCACTAACCGAGTTAATCCACTCGCAAAGATATTCGTCTAAGCGAGACTATCCTCTCGTTTAGCGACACCCCGGTCAATGCACTTCTTCATCTCCCACAGTTGAATTTTCTGCGCCTGATCCAACCTCTCGCTCCTCTCACCTCCTCATCTACACCCGACCATTCGTTGTCAATAGCGTCTACATCTCAGGGCGTAACCCCCAGGTGCAGGACGATGTCGCGAAGCTCGTTGAATGGCTCGTGCAACATCTGCCCCCAGCCCAACTCCTCAATGCGGAGCTGACGCTGGGACTGAGAGCTTCCCGCAGCTTCCAATCTGAAGCGAACCGGCCAAGCGGCCGACCCCGGACTAGAATTGCGCCGTTCGACACTTTCTTCCATGTCGTCTGGCTCTCATAAAATCCGGAGACGAACCGATACGCACCATATTTCTTTAGATCATCTGCTCGATGCCATACGCGATTGATCCTATACGAGTGGTGTACATGCCTCGACGCGCGTTGTAGGAGCACAGCTGACAATGTCGTGATCAATCCGATGTGTCGTGCTGGTGTTACCTTGCAGTGCAAGCACTTGCCTCGATGCCTGTCGCTTGTTATCTTCTCCTCGGGCTCGATGCCATCAAAAGTGATAACGTAGAAGAACTCTGGGAATCCGCATCACGAAAAGTTGGTCCATTCAACATGATGCAATCACACAGTTGAACAAAAGATGGCGCAGTGGAGGAGAATGACTCAATAAGTCTATCTGCTCAGAGAACCGCGCTCGCCAATCGCAGCCGCTGTACACATCACCCAGTGCACCATGCCAGCCCAACCAGCCCAAAAGCCGTTCATCTAGCGATCTCACCCCAACTTTTTGTTTGTTTTTCCGAAGTAATGTGTTGTGTGGTCGTGTGCTGTTGTGGGTATCATTTGCGCAAAGTCGAAGCCACTCCGTCCGCACCATCCCGAATGCCGCCAACGGGGTATGGCCCAATGTCGTAGTAATGATACCGCAGTATCGCCACAGGACGCACCCTGCTTGCCGAGCCCGTGCCAGAGAGTCGTCTGTTGGCAAAAATCATCAATGCAGTACCGATGATGCCACGAGCACCGCCTCCGGCTCTTGAGCTCCCATGCTTGGGCGACTACCTGTGTGCCAGTAATCATCCGTCCACCTCGCTACATGGCAAAGCCAAGTCCAGCTCCATCCCTCCCCGTGAGATTCTGCCACAAAATCAGAGCCAAGGCCAGCCAAGGGTGGCCTTCTCGATCATATCTCACTCAACCTCCTTCCAAATCTCCATCGCCGCTGGGAGAAAATCATTCCCCCAGTGCAGTCAAAACAATGCCAAATCTTGACCGAGAACGCCGAGCTGATTCTGTCAGCCCCTTCCTTTGAAAACGCCTTTGAGCATGATCATGAGAATGACCAAGAAGCTTCTACCACGACCGGGTTGACAGCTCCGCCCATGAACCCATGCCGATGCCGTCCCATGCCATCCAGTCGTGACAAGATCGTGTCAGGTGAAGTGTGCAGCGTGGTGAACAGTCAAGAGTGCAATACCCTTGCCGAACAGCCCGCGCTACCCCTCCCGTTGCGCTACGCTCGCAGACGCACAGCCAGCGCCCCATTCCCATCTCTGTCCCCGACGACCGCCCATTATCCGAAATTTCATCCAGTCCGCAGTGGACATAAAAGTCGAAGTTGCCGAGCCGTAATCGACAACCGAGTTGGTGTAAGCCGTCATGTATATGTGAAGGTGCCTTTCCATGGCAGCGCGCCTCGGTGGTGCTGGAGCCTGCCGACCCAACCAGTCGCGTTGAGACCCCAGCCGTCAAGGAATGGCCCTCAAGGACCAGCCATCAGCTAGTGGGAACAAAAATATGTACAATCCAACAATAAATGCAACCGTGTAGGCCTCATCAACCTCCTCCCCAAACGCCGTAAAGTGACAGGTGTCGAAGCGACACTAGGTCTGCTGGGGCAGCTGGCCCTGGCCGCCAGTGCCACCTCCGCGACCGTTTGTATCTACCACGTCCAGGAATCTGGCCCTGGTAGCC